TCGCGCGCTCAACTTCGGACAACATTAATTATTCTGACCGACGACACGGTCGCGCTGTCATTAACGTCGTCGACTACGGTTGGAATATCATCCCCGGGCTCAGCTATTCTGCCGCGCGGAAAGAAATTTGCGGAGCGGAAATCCAACCGCGGCGGAAACGCGATATCGATCGCGGGAACGACACGAACGATACACTCCTCTCTCGCCCGTCCAGATCCCCTCCTTGTGTCGCGCCGCGTTACGGCCGCGCGATGCCTATAATCGTTCCTTAATTGTATGCAAATATCGTATCGATTAAGCGCACACAGAGACCGAACGACAACTGGGACGATAGAGAGACGAACGGGCCTGCCTGCGAATTTCACGTCGGGCGTTGTGTATTCGTTTGCGCCGCGTCGATGGGGGAAAAGAGGAACTCCGCGTTGACCGGTCGGCCGAAAACCCCGCCGTGCGGGAAATACATCGATACCTTAGTATCGGAGTTTGTTTTATGACGTGACTTAATGGAGACCGCGTTGAAAAAAGGATTTTGTTGTCGAAATGAAATGTTAGTACGCCACACCAGAATTTGCTTAATCCTTTTGAGCCATACATTTTATTTCTCGGTGAGGTTCCCTCAAATTTGGCACGCCGGGGATTTCGGGATCACTGATTACGAATTTGAGGTGAAACAGTTAAAACTCTGGACGGCTGCTCCGATATAGCGACCATAAATTTTCAAAATTAGCAATCTTGCTTCTAGCACTGTGCAGAAATATAACGATGATATTTCCTCGATATATGAGAAAGAGATATTTGCGTTTTTGACAAAAAGTTTGCAGCAAATATATTATCAATATTTTAAGTTAAATGTTATCATCAATATTTACAGTTTCTTGTAAAAAATATGGCTTATAGAAAATTTCGAAAAAATGTGCCAAAGAGAATAAGTCCTGAATGAGTCTTAAAATGATTTTTGTCCGAAAAAATGCCTTTTGTTAGTTTTATTCGTTTAGAAAAATTTAACAATTAAACATTCAAAATTATTCTTTTACTTGTTTTCAGTTTCTTGTGTTTATATGCACGGAAAAAAGGTTTGGTTGAATTAACCAAATATCTGGTCGAATATAAACAATCCAGAAATTCCGATTGAAGTAACCCGAATTCTGTTTAAGTTAACAAGATTTTTGGTTGACTTAAACAGAATTCGGGTTACTTCAATCGGAATTTTTGGATCGTTCATATTCGACCAGATATTTGGTTAATTTAACCAAACCTTTTTTTCCGTGTGTGAGAGAATGTATAGTAATAATATAATCGACTATGTTTGCCGCAATAAGTTGTTAAAGTCACTAAAAATGAAGAAAAAATAGGTGGGACTAATGTCCCGCACTGAGAGAAAAATGTATGATATTTGGAACTATAATGGCATAGTAAAAAGATTATAGTTAGGAATATAATTTTTATAGTAAATGTTACCATAATATTTGTAATATTTACAATATTAGCATAGTATAACTGACCCGTGTAAAATTTTTACCAAGAATTATAATTATCTGAAATAAAAAATATAGTAAGGTAGCAAATATTGAATGGTAAGAGAAATTAACTATTTTATATAGTCAATACAATTGGAATATTTGGCAAATATAGGTACATGTAACTATATTCCCAAAAGGTGCTTTACCATATATATAAAGTAATAAGATGGTGACTATAAATCTGTGTTCATTCTACTATATTTTCATGTTTAGATGAACTATAAATATATGTTTGAGGCCAAAACGAACTATAAAATATAGTGAGATTATAGTTATTCCAACTATTTTTTTCTCTCAGTGCAATGTGGCTCAAAGGATTAAAATGGTGTCGACCAAATGTTTGGTAATTGCAACCAAAAGATTTAATTGCCACTTGTGTGCTTTGCTCTCTCACTAATATTTTACCCACTTGACAGAAGTAAAAGAAATGGCAATGCCAACCACATCGCATGTACCAGATATTTCCGTTCTAAATGCAAAAATAATTTTTTATAGAGACACGAGATACATATCAAGCGACATATTCAGACTCCGCGCGAAAATATACGATTGACCTTACGAGGCTCGTCGTGTACGCTCAGGTGTGTTTTGAATTTCAAATACCTTTTCTTGTAGACTCGCCAAAGAGAAAACTGCCTTTGTTCGTGGAAATGTGGCCGAAAGTGCGGAAGCTTTAATTCGTATGCGCGTCGTTAAACAATCTGTGCAACTCCCGTACAACAATCAGAACATTCACTATGCCGACTAGAAATTCATCCCATCGCTCCAAGCAACTATCTAGCTCATATAAGCTGATGTTATTGGGTCTTGATAATAAATAAGAGTCTATTTATTTATAATTTTTATTGTTAATAAGGCTCTGATTGCTACACTGCATAGAAAAAAAGAATTTCGGGTAAACCTATTTTTCTGAAATTCTGAATTCTGCTTCAGTTAATCAGAAATTTTGATAATTCAATCTGAATTCTGACAACTTCAACATTTCACCGAAAATGTTTTATTGCAAGCAAAAAAAAGTTTGGTTGAATTTCCAGTGAAAAATACGAACGAATCAGAAATTCCGTCGAAGTTACTAGAATTCTGTTCGAGTTGGCAAGATTTCTGATTAACTTAAGCAAAATTCTGCACATTTTGATTCTCGCGTTAAATAACTTTGACTTCGGAATATTCTGGTTTGCTTAATCAGGACTGTAAGATAAATTTCTAGTCGGGATATCACGCGACATCCTGCGACTTTGAAGATGAAAATATACTTCGAAAATATACTTGCGCGCGCGACGACTGTGACACGGTAACAGCACGCAATAACGCTTTATAGATACTTCGTTCAATGAGATTTTCATTTTTACGACGACGGCATTAAACTTGTAATGAAAGAAAACCTGCGGCCCACCGTGGTCGCGAAGGAAATCCTACCACGATCGATCAGACGACCGGTTTTGGCTCTTTACGTTGAAGCGGAATATTATTATTCCCGAGAAGTGTGCCAATGAGATATTTTCGCGACATTCCTCTTCACTTATTTATGAGTATCGGTTTGTGGCGCATCGTGCGAGAAACGGGCCGATTAAATTCGAGATTTATTTGAAGAATTCGTTCCAACGGACATCTGCGATATCCAGAGAGAGAGAGAGAGAGAGAGAGAAAGGAAGAAAGAGAGAGAAATCTTTGGCGTATCGTCTTAATCTTCGATGTTAAATGGCGCACGGAGAAACGTTCTTTATTTTTGTTATCGTTGCACAAAGAAGGAGTTTGTTGTTACGGCACAGAACGAGAGTTTTCGATTGATAAACCAATTTACGAAGTTTACGAGGCGTGAGCTTGACTTTCCTCCTTTCTCTCTCTCTTCTTCCTTTCGATACGATTAGACGTTCGTGCCGACGACCCACGTCGAGAAATTGGGGTCTCAATCTGTTCAATCAACGTACGAAATCGAGGCATTATTCTTCCTTCGAGATGTGCCGGTGCACGCATCTCTTTTTCAATGCGAAGATCGCGCGCGTCGATTCTGTTTCATTAGCATGAATGTACCGGCAAGTCGATTCTCCCTATAGATGCCACCTAGGTTACTTCACGGTAACGTCGACTCCTTCGATTTCGGCGATCTAAACTCGAGATGCCGATTTCGACGCGGCGCGTTTTAAAGCCGCCGCGAGCTCGCGCTGTTTCACGCTCACAATACAAGTGAGAATACGTCGTTGATCTTGATGTGACGACAATCTCGGTCACAGGTTAATTACTCGATCGGCTTAAATTGAATCATTAAGAGATCTCGTCCGTCCTTACGTCTGCAATCTGATCGTATGTGAGAGACGGACGATAAGAGAGATATGTACGACGATCATTTTTATTATGAATACAAGACAGGTGTATGTTTTTCTATTTTTTTTATCGCAACATAGAGGATTGTTCTATTGAGGACAAGACGAATCGCCGTCATTCGAATGAAGGCTATTGTATACGCGAGAGGAAGGAAGTCTTATCGGGATGAAAACGTACAGCGTAGCGTGTGTGCATGCGTGTAATCGTGATTGGTGACGAGACATTGATGTCACGCGCGTATGAATATATTTCTGTTTGCGTCCCAGCTTATGCAAAGAACATGTCGAATCGACGTATCTTAATTAGCAAACGACTCGCTTAATGCCCAAACATAATCTTGCGTCAACATTCGTGTTTGAAGTATCAGGACATCGTAAAAATACACTCGTGAAATTTGCTTGTGTGTGTTTCGGTAGTGAAGTTTGTCCATATGTATAAATTTCTCTGATACACGTGGAAAATAAAAAGTTTAGTTGAATTAACCAAATTTCTCTGATGAAATATGAACGAACCAAAAAGGTTTCCGGTTGAAGCAATCAGAGTTCTGTTAACAAGATTTCTGATTAATTTGGACAAAGTTCTGGTGACTTCAACCGAAATTTTCTGGTTCGTTTATTTCAATTTGGTTAATTCAACCAAAGGCTTTTTATCTGGTGCAGCACACAAGAATAATTATACTGTAAATAATTGTACTAATGATACAATTATTTAAAATACTACAGAAAAGTTATTAAACATATACTGAGAGGAGAAATGTCTAAAAAATTAAAAAAAAAAAGTATTTATTCGTTGAGTAAATACTAATATATTATACACACATATTTATTTACACTAGAAATTATAAAATAATAAAAAATATAAAATATTTTCCACAAAGAAGGAAATATACATTTTCTCAAAACCCTTGCTTTTCATGAGAGCAATTTCGTTTATTCTATTGAAATGATAAAATTTAGGTTTAAGTAAACACGTTATCAGTACCTACTGAGTAAATACTTTTTCTCTCAGTGCAATTCACAGTTGTCTTGCGCGAGTTATAGCTTCGATGTAGCTCATATCGGTCATAAGGCACAACGTATCGTAATCGGTATGCAAATACTATCAATCGATAGTTCAGTGGCTCATATCTAACAAACATTTGTGCTCTCTTTGTTACAGGCTCAGTCGGACGACGACGATGTGGCGGACGACGTGTCCGTCAACGTCGGGGCGCCGGATGACTTCATGACGGAATTCTTCGCGGAGGTGAGTGACGAACTAATTCGTTCCCGCGGCGTTTTATTTCCGGCGCCGCGGTTCTCAACGATCGAAAGTAGGTTAAACCGGTATTGTAGGCGCGCAAGAGAGAGAGAGAGGGAGAAAGTATCGCGTTTGCAAAAGTATTGCGTCCTCTTAACGAGGACAATGCACGATTTCTTTTTCCGCTTCTTTCGATGCACGTGAGAGGAGGTGGGAGAATAGATTCCTCGAACGTCTCGCGTAAAGGGATAACGTGAGGGTGTATCGCTCGTATATAAATTTCCGTCATTGAGACTGCCGCGAATTCAATAGCTCGCGCCCGCGCCGGAGAGCGGGATGGCGTATTTCGCCAAGATCTCGCGCTGTGGCATTCTTGCGCGATGCTTTCGCGTTTTATTGATCGCGTCGGCTCAGACTCTCCGCGGAGTTTTAACCTTTCGTATCCAATAACGTGTATAACGCGCCGCCACACGCTCTCTCTCTCTCTCTCTCCTGCCGCCCTTCGCGACGGGATGCGCCTCGCACAGCATCCCGCATAAGCGATTCGCGATATTTCCTCTGTAGTATGCACGTGCGCGTGCACGGCGTATATCTGGCCGCTCGAGCGTGGATTTTTATGAGCCGATGCGCGGCCGAAATTCGCGCGAGCGAGCTCGCGCGATTCGCCGACGTGGAATCCCTAACGAGCATCGGCAGCTGTACCCATTACATCTCGCGCCAATGGCATCACTTAATCAGCTTATGCGGTATTACGACGAAATTGCGAGCACACTCGGTTGCTGCCGAAAGCGGCGCCCTCCCGTCCCTTTTCGCGTGTTAAATATACCCGCGAGGACGATTGCAAATGTTTCGAGGATCATCGAACGATAATCACCGCACCGGGAAAATGTAATTAGGCTTCGCGTCATTTCGATATTAATTCGGGGAGCCGCTTCTGAAATAAATCTATGGCGTCTCGTGTGCACAGGGAGAATTTTATAGCCAAAATCGTGCTTTAGGACTTCGTAGCCGAAGAGTGGGTTGCCATTCCGCGGTAATTTATTCCATCCTTTCATCTCGTGTGTGCTACTTGTATCTTAGCAATTGAAATGTATTGTTGAAACACTTTCCATGTTTTTAACGACATTTACTGCGTTCCTTAGCGAGATAGACTTTACTGATCTTCTGTTTCTGGACTATTAAAAACGTGACTTACAAGTAAACCTATCCAAAAGGTATAGACGTTTTTGGTTTGCTGATTATAAATATGAGGTCGAATGTGTAAAATTATTTGTATAAATAATAAAATGTTTAAACAAAATATGTAAAAAGTTTACAAAAATTATTTATACAAATAATTTCTCGGTTTGGCCGAGATTCGAACCATTTTTTACTAATTTAGCACATATTTGAAATATTTGGGTTGGAATCTTGGCCAAAGAAATTTAGAATGATTCGTGTCTCAGCTACGTCAATTTTGTTAAAATTTTAATGAAAATTGTCGAATTTCGATTTGACCGAGATTCGAACCATTTTTTACTAATTTAACACAGATTTGAGATATTTAGGTTGGAATCTCGGGAAGAAATTTAGAATAGTTCGTGTCTCAGCTATGCCGGTTTTGATAATATTATTTAATATCTTATCTTATCTATATCTTGTATTCAATTTTATTTCTTTATACATTTTTTGCACTATTGATTATAGGAGTAAGAACATTAAAAAGCTATAAACTGCCAGTGAAACTTAAAGTGGGCCAAAATGAAAAAATATGATTTAAATATTTTTTGTGCTTCTACATTTGTGCCAAATTAGAAAGAAATCGGAGTGTACTTTTTGGGTAGGTTTATTTGTTAGTAAAATTGGAAAGAATTTATATGTGAAAGAAGAAATTATAATATTTTCTTCGTGTATTTTTGTGAAAAAGGGAAATTGCTATCCGTTTAACTGCGATCGGCGAGTCTGGGGAACCGTCGAGAATAACGAGGTCAATACGCGATTTTTGTTTTATGCACACAGAGAGGATTTTATAGTCCAAATTACCATAGAATTTTGAGACCGGGGAATAGATGGACATTTTGCAGTAATTGCACTCAGAGAAGATGATGTAGGGATGGCGATTATATAGGTGATAACTACACGAGTTTTTAAAATTTAGAATTAATGTATGTAGCTTTAATAACTTTTAGCTTATTATATAACTTTAGCTTATTGCAAACTGAAGCTTTGGTCGCAATAAAAAAACTACAGAATAGTTTATTAAACTATATATATAAATACACATACATTACAATTCTATATGCAAAACTCGTAGTTGTCACTCGTGTATTTGTTGTCACCATGTTTTTTTCTGAGTGTGACAATCCTTTCATTTCATACATTTTACTTGTATCTTAAAAACTAAAATGTGTTATTAAAAATTTTCTATGTTTTTAGCGAAATTTATTACGTTTTTCAACAAGATAGACTTCACTGGCAATCTACACTGAGAAAAGATACTCGATATTTGTAACTATAATACTATAATTACATAGAAAAGTAATTACAACGCGAAAAAAGCTGTGTTTGATTAGCCCACATATAAATCTGGTGGATCAGACATATTGTTTTTGACACAATGAAACAGAATGAAAATAACAGTGATATATTCTTTGTATACGTGTGTGAAAAATAAATCACCTTCGTGGAATGCGAGAAAGTTGTCCTCTCTTTATCTTTCTTTATCTCTAGAAATATCTCCCCTGCGCGAAATTGTGATTTGTTGTCATAGATAGGAGAAATCGCGTCGCTCGGAATACGAAATAGCTCGTAGCATCGTGAAACCAGCGTATCGTTCCGTTCCGTCGAGATTGCGAAGATTCGAGTACGTTGAAGGAAATAGTTTCACGATGTCGGGATAATCGCGAATTACTTCGTCGAGTCAGCACGAGGTCGTAAATTTTCTCTCTGATTAACGCAAATTTTTACTAGAGACACCAAGTTCAAGAAGTAAATATATGCTATATTTGTATGATCTTATATTCAATATAAAGCTAATTCGTTTCGGCCGAGTCAGCGTGATGGCGAGCGTCGTAAGAACGTTATGAATAAAAGAGCAGCTTGAAGAAAAGATTATTCGCAGAACTGCACGAAAGACGCGTAATGTAGAGCATGCGGTTTCGTTTCATCTCTATTTTTCCTCTTTTTTCTCTTTCTTTAAAAAAAAGTCACTTTTCCTCTTTTTTTCCCGAGGCGTCCGCTTCATTTTTATTCATACGACCCATTTACAGACAAACGCCTTAAAATGCGAGGCACAGGGAAATAATTCTCTTTCATAACGTGAGATATGTGTCCCTGAACAAATGCTTCCGCATCCACTGCATCCGTGCGAGAGAAAGAGAGAGAGAGAGAGAGAGAGAGCGCATTCGCCTGATTTTCATTCGCGTGACCCGCGCCGTTACACGTTGAAACGCGGTTTTCCCGATACCGAACAATCTTCATCGGCGTAATTTCGCAACGATGGCGTGCGGCCATGTAACTAATTAAAAGTTACCTCGATATCCGGCTCGGCTTTAACCGCTGCGTCGGAGATCAATTCGCGCTCGTCCTCGTCGTCGTCGTCGAGGCGCCGATCGGTGCCGATTAAAGACGGAAAACAAAGAGAGACAGAGAGAGAGAGGAGGAGGAGGCGGAATTGCTCGCGATCCGCGAATCGCACAGTATATATATAATTACCGCGGCGATTCCGCCGCGTCGGGCAATAATTACCGCGGGACGATGCGCCATTTCTCACGCGGCCGTTTCGCCAACAGTTTCGTAGGAGTGCGTTTGACGTTTACGAGTGCGCGGTGGCCGCCGCCACAGGCCGCCCCGGCGGCGGAAAACAATGCTCGTGAAATCCCGTCTGTGCCGTTCCGCCCCGCCTGCGGACGGATGCCGTGGACGTACGTCGGATTTGAACGCGCGGTCGAATACGCGATCGCGACGCGATCTTTCGGCCCGCGCGGACAATTCAATCAAATGCAGACGCGGCCGCCGGCAGAGTCACCCCGTGTCGAAATTTTGATGCTACTATGATGCTTTTGATGATGCTATGATGACAGTTTACACCTATTTAGAGGTTTATAGCCTAGGTAAAACCTACTTTGCGATATTGATACTCATTAACTTCTCTTTTGAACATTTAACTCTACACTGAGAGAAAAATATAGTTGCCTTTGGCGTCAGCTATACTCTTTTGTGATTTTAACCACAAAAATTATTAGAAAAACCATTGTTTTAATAACTGTTATTAGAAAAATGGTTCTTCAAATTATTTTTCTGGTTAAAATCACAAAAAAGTATAGTCGAAAGCAACTATATTTTTCTCTCAGTATACTTTGTCAAAATTTTGACGCTCTTAAAAATAGTTTGAGCCTACTTAGATAATCTACAACCTAGGTGAAGCCTATTTTGACGATATTGACACTCATTTCCGAGACGAAATTTTGACCCTATGTTGAACCTTGAATTCTATAGAATACATATATTCTAGGAACTAAAACTTCTATTCGTAGCTGAACCTACTTTACTTCCTAAGATCCTACTATTATAAACCTACTTTGACGCTAAAGAAAGCGAAAACGGGAATTTCAGACATCATCAGGGTCAAAGTAGGAGTAAATTATATCATTAGAATTAAACCTACTTTGCTATCTTAGCTCCTACTACGGTGTAGAATTCAAGGTTCAACATAGGGTTAAAATTTCAACTCGGGATGCCGGCTCACCGAAATATGACACTACCCAACCCGAATCGAAATTTTGACCCTATGTTGAATCTTGAATTCTACACCGCAGGAGCTAAGATAGAAAAATAGGTTTAATTCTAATGATATAATTTACTTCTACTTTGACCTTGATGATGTCTGAAATTTCGGTTTTCGCTTTCTTTAGCGTAAAAGTAGGTTATATAATAGTAACGTCTTAAGAAACAAAGTAGGTTCAGTTGCGAACTTCTATTGAAGCTTTAGCTCCTACATAGAATATATGTATTTTATAGAATTCAAG